TGCCTTCGGGGACAGCTCGGCGCTGCTGAAGCACGAGTTGGCCTTCTGCCTGGGGCAGATGCAGGATGAGGCTGCCATCCCCGTGCTCGTCCGTGTGCTGGAGGACACCGAGCAGGAGCCCATGGTCAGGCACGAGGCAGGTAGGGCAGCAGCTCCTGGGGGCAGGGGAAGGGGCTCGCTGGCAAGGGAGGCTTGTGGGGGCCTCCCCCCACACTGCTGCTCGGGGTGGCCTGGTCTGGTTCAGGTGTCACACCCTGAGTCAGGTAATGCCTCACCACTTCCCCTGGCCAGCCCTGGCTGGACTGGTTGGCCAAGCCTGCCTGTTCCTGTTGGTCAAGCTTTGTCTTGCCATGTTTGTCCTGTTTGGGATCCATCAGTCAGGCCTGTGTCCCTGTTCCAGAGCCTTTGCCAGGGGACATAGCAGTGTCCTCCTCACACAGACACCCCAATAACATCCCAACACCTCCTTCCTTCCTCCAGGTGAAGCCCTGGGTGCCATTGGGAACCCCAATGTGTTGGATATCCTCAGACGCTATTCCAAGGACCCCGTGGTCGAGGTGAGGTTCCTGGGGGACCATTTCCCACAGGATGCTGCACTGCTGGTCCAGGAGGGTGAGGCAGGTCCCTCCCGGGCATGTCCTGGCCGTGGGTGGGGACACCACCGTGACACTGTGCAGCCCTGGGGCCCTCCCAGAACCACACCATGCCATGTCACAGCCTTGGCCGTGTCCCTGTCCCCTCAGGTGGCAGAGACATGTCAGCTGGCTGTGAGGAGGTTGGAGTGGCTGCAGGAGAACAAGGAGAAGGCAGGCAGCAGCCCCTACCTCTCCGTGGATCCTGCTCCCCCTGCTGAGGAGACAGACGTCGCCAAGCTCCGGGAGATCCTCCTGGATGAGTCCCGGGAGCTGTTCGAGCGCTACCAGGCCATGTTTGCCCTCAGGAACGTGGGGGGTGAAGCTGCTGTGCTGGCATTGGCGGATGGTGAGAGCCTGTCCTTGCTCTGAGTATCTTCCAGGTTAATCCAGGATGAGCCCTTCCCAAATCCAGAGCTGCACTCACATGGTTGTGCTAGAGCTGCTGCCACATGGCAGTGCTGGGTGGTCTCTGGTGCTCCAGACCCTCTTACCAAGGAGCTGGGTGGGAGGGCACAGGCTGTGGTGGTAGTGTGAGACCAGTCAGCATGACTTGGGGTCAGACCTGGCCATGGCCTGTTGGGGTCCTGCTGTCCCAGCCTGGAAAGTCAGAGGCTGCAGGGGTTTGGGAATAGCTCTGGAGAGAGGAGTGAATGTCTCCTGAGTGGAGAAGGGGCAAACTATGGCCCAGGAACTGTTTGGACCCATTCCCCAGGCCAAGGGAAGTGACTGAGTCTGGGGCCATCAAGGGCATGTCTGCCCATGAGATGGGATCTGCCAGCTCCTGCTGTGGCTGCTCCATCCTGGAGGGTTGGATGGCCACACTGCCAATCCCTCTGGATCATCCCATGGTGGGGCAGAGCCTGGGGCACTTCTACCAGGGGGAATCTGCTGCTATCAGAGGAGGGCCCCAGAGCAGGGCTGGGATCAGGGAGCAGGGTGAGACTCCCCTTCCTGTACTCAGGGCTGGGCTATTATAGTGTGTTCAGCGTTTGGGATGGAGCTGAGAGATCCTCCAGCCCCAACCCCTGCCCTGGGCAGGGACACCTCCCAGCAGAGCAGGTTGCTCAAGG